GAGAGAGAGAGAGGGAGAGAGAGAGAGAGAGAGAGAGAACAGCCGGAGCTAAAGACTAGACAGGCCATGAGCAGAGAGAGAGAGAGAGAGAGAGAGAGAGAGAGAGAGAGAGAGAAAGTGTGTTGATGGGGGAAGAAAGGAGAGAATCGAAGTTAGAGAAGGAGAGTGACTGAGAGATTTTTATTAATTTATTTATGTATGTATTTGTGGATATTCCACGCACCTACCCGGACGACCTTCTACGGTAGATGAGGCTAGCGGGAATAGCAGCTACCGACGCACGAAGTAGGAGAGATAAGGAGAAGTTTACATCCAGCCATTTTTCACCAATCCGATAACCGAGCATTCCAAGTATAATTGTTGATAGTGGGAACGACCATTTTCATCAATTCTGTAATTGAGCATTCCAAGTATACCCGTTGAGTACGGGAACAACCAGTTTCCCTGATTTGGTAATCAAGCATTTCAAGTACCCCCAATGATAGCGGGAGCAGCCAGACACATCAATCTGGCAATTGAACACTACTTGCATCCCCGCTGCTAGCGGGGAAGCACGTTTCCAGTGACTTGCCAACCAGGCAACCCGCTGCCAGCCGGAGGGTACATTTCGAGTGAACTGCCAATCAGGCAACCCACTGCCAGCGGGAGAGGACATTTCAAGTGAACCACCAAGCAGGCAACCCGCTACTAGCGGGAGAGCACACTTCCAGTAATCTGTCAGTCGGGCAACCCGCTGCTTGCGGTAGACCACATCTCTCGTTTTCTGCCAATTGGCCAACCCACAGCTGAGGAGCACATTTCTAGTGAACTGCGAATGAGATAACCCGCGGCCAGCGGGAGGGTACACTTCAAGTGAACCGCCAATCAGGCAACCCGCTGCCAGCGGGGGAGTACATTTCGAGGTGAACTACCAATCAGGTAAATCGCTGCCAGCGGGGGAGGGTATTTCAAGTGAACTGCAAATCAGGCAACCCGCTGCCAGCGGGAGAGGACATTTCAAGTGAACTTATTTTTATTTGTTACTCATTTAAAGTATAATTTATATAATCTCTTCTTTTGAATTGTACGGGGATACTTGGTTAAGCCAGAGAACGCTTGGGAACTTTTGAGTCTGATACAGCGAACTGGGCGTCTGAGCCCGGTTGAACCCCTAGACAATGTGAGGCTGATGAGACAGGGAGAGAGTGACGGGGGTTGGGGGGCCCTACCGCTAAAGGCGAGCCCGAAGAACGGCGAATATTTCTGATTAATTAATCTCATTATAATCCTACAGGCAGCGAGAGTCTTCGGACATGAAACTCATAATGGCCATGCAGCAGGTGAGTGTTGAGGCCATCACCCTGCTGATCGCCGAGGACCTCGGAGGCGGGCGCGGCGAGTGACAGGCGCCGTTGCCCTTGGCTTCGGCGAACAGTAGGTGACCCTTCCCCGAGTTTCCTAACAACGGTGATGCGGAGGAGAAGCGCAACTTCTGGCCCATGGAACACATTATAGCCCTCATAAGGGCTAAACGTGATCAAGATGCGCATATGCAGGGGATGGGCCACGCATAAGCACGGATGAAACCGCGCGAATGGAAATGGCAAGACGTCGCCCAAAGGTTGAAGAACGTCGGCCTGGACAGGAATGCGGAGAAATGCGGGAAGAAGTGGGACAATCTAATGTAGCAGTTCAAGAAAGTCCATTACTTTCAATCACCATCAGGGGGTGCCGACTTTTTCCAGTTGACGTCGAAGAAGAGGGCGAGCAGGGGCTTCAATTTCACGATAGATCGCGCAGTTTATGACGAGATAGAGGGGTCGACTGGGATGAACCACACCATCCACTCGAAGAACGTGGCAGACACCGGTGCGTCTAGCGGCGTGCGCCCGCCTTCGACGTCTTAAGTGGATCCTGAATCGGTGGCGGACGGGGAAGGAGGTGCAGGGCGAGAAGACGACGAGGAGGCGTCGACGGGAGGCTCTTCGCAGACGACGGGCACCCCCGGGGGTTCAGGGAAAAGGAAGAGCACGAGGCAGCAGACTTTCGAGGCGCTGACGGAACGCATGGAGAAACATGGGGAGCTAATGGCGTCGACGATGGAGAGTGCAATCAAGCGGCAATGCTCTATCCAGGTCCGACAGTGCGAGGCGTTTGAAGCAGAGGTGGAAGTGCAAAGGAAGCATTATGCCGCGTCAGACGAAGTCAGCAAACTCATGTGCCACGCATTGTTGGAAATAGCGAAGGTCATTCGTGAGCGACCGAGCAGCTAGGAAGTGTGTTGTGCAATTGTGGAGTCCCTTGATGCCGGGGGCGAGTTGTTGGCTGGTTTCCCGTTGCAGTCGTGTTGGTAGGTGTGCCGTCGTAGACAAGGCGAGGCTTCGTTGGTCGATCCCTGTCCGCTGTTGCGGGTCATGTATGGTAGATCACCATTCGTGCAATTTAGTGTTGTCGTTGTAAATTACCTGTAGTGCCTAGAATCTTGGGGACAAATAGTCTCGTCATTGCAAATTTGTAACGTTGGGTGGAACATTGCGGGAAGCACTTGCCTTTTTTTTGTACTTGATGGTCTCTCTCTCTCTCTCTCTCTCTCTCTCTCTCTCTCTCTCA